GATAATTTCGTTCGCACTCATTTCTTCAATAAAATATATGCAGTAGACTGGTTGCACCACAGCTCCAACTCCAAAATCAGTGATGGCCAAGTTAAGAATAAGAAAGTTCGAAGGTGTCCTTAAAGATGGCGTCTTTACAAAAGCCAAGATGATCAAGGAGTTCAAAAACGTAGCCAATGCACCACTAAGAGCGTTAACAACTATCATCGACACAAGGAAACGAGAATCGACCATTTGCGATGGCTCTCTTGTCGTAGAGTTATCCATACTCGAAGATTATGTAATCAAACGTTTAGCCTCCTTTTTCTCTTTTWCACTGTAATTCAAAAATATTTTTTGTTCAATTTTTGTTGTTCGAGCTCATTCAATCTATTTTTGGTTGCTTCAAATATAACTTAACAATAAATTTATTTAAGTATACGGTAATATGTGTTAATCACCTGGTTTGAATTGTTTAAAGTTTCTTCGCTAGAAAAGTGGATTGCTCATCTCAGACATCTGTCGAGTAAACGAATGGAGATCTCTCTGTTCCTCAGTCTTTTAAGGTAGCAGATTATCGATYTGGTTAAGATTTTGCGACGATAGAATGAAGGTGGGCCCTTTGACTGACATTTTTAGTTGCTTGTCGAACCTGAATCTACTCCTTTCCCACATTTTCGTCCTTTTATCTTGACACTGTCGCCGGCTTAAATAAACATATATCTATCAGATCCAACCACAGTTATTTTAAGCTAATCGATTAAAACTGGAACTCACAAAAAGAATGTATAAAGCATATTAATCGTTGTGCAAAAGGTTAAAAAGTGATTTAATTTTTTTTTAAATTTGGCTTTTAATCCAGCTCTTTTTTCTTCATCACTCCTGCTTTAGTTTCACACATTTTCTTTGACGTTCGAAGAATTGAACATTCATTGTTCCATATGTTTCATTGAAGCTACTGAGTAAAACTAAGACTTTTCAAAAAATATGGGTAAAGCAAGAGTAATGCAGACTCACTGAGAAATTAACTGTTCAGTTGAAGTTCAAATTGCTATAAATAATAGTGATTTTCATATAGTCAATATGATTTCCTTATGCCAAGATACCGCCTAGGACCAACGTCTATTTGCGCCAAAAAATAAAAAAAAAGATAATACTCTCTCTTTCCCATTTCCGCAAAAGAAATACAATCTTTTTGGACTTAATACCGGCTTTGTGTTAGTTAAGTTAAGTTTTCAAATAAACACCTGTTACGCTATTCAAATTTTACTGATAAGTATCTCTTTAAGTCGTTCATATTTGTAATAATACTTGGCATTATGTAAACGTTCGATGATATGAATATATATATGTATATATATACTTCCACCTGGTGCTCGAGGTATTTGCCATGTTATATGATGAAGGCTATACCGTGGCTTTAATAAAAATAATCTCAGTTTGCTATTTTATTTTGCAGCGGAAGAATTTAACCAAGTACTGACTGCAGCATTGTGTGTGAAACGTTCCCCATATAACACGTACTGCGAGTCGAGACCGGGTCAAAACCCTTAATTATGGATTTAGTAGTGAACGTTTAATTTCTTGAAGAAAAAGTCGGTATAAATTGTGGAGACATGGCACTTTGTCCATGTACACAATGAGATGTCAGAACTGTCGTGCTATAACCAATCGTTTTTATCTGTACATTAATCCAGTATCGGTACGTTTATTCACACTCAGGGTAAAAAWTTTAACGTGAGGCGCTATCAATGTTTAAAGACATGGGGTGATTTCGACGACTCACACTCGAGAAGCACCATGTGTAAGATGTGCCCCGTGTGGATTTGAATCTTCTCCGATTTGAGGCTATAAAGCCTGTTTTCCCAGAGCTAGAGCTTGAGCCTTCGGGGAAGGCCTAGCCTCAAATCGGAGAAAATGCAATTGTAGTGCTATTGTAATGACAACATCTTTTTGTGTTTCTTTTTGATTATGGTATAAGGTCTCTGTTCATGAGAGACGACTGTTGTCAACTGAAACAGCGGTTGCTCGCCTTGAACGTGAAAAAGGCGTATTAGTCAAATAAAAAAAAGTCCAATAAGTTGTTTTAACAAGTAGTTTTATTATTATTTTGTAAAATTAGCCATTTCCAAAAACATGATAGAGCAATGTTTTGTGTTGACTACTTTATCTGTTTATGCATTTAGTTAATTGTGGTCAGCAGTCTTAGTTTACTTATAAGGAACGTCCTCAATCTCGAGCCCAGAGTCTTCTGGATGGCAAAAGTGCGGGCTCTGGGTATGAGATTGGAACGTCCTCGGACTGACGGTTAGACTATTCAGATCATAGGAGATCAAAGTTTGTAGAAAAGAGACTATTTAGTAGAACTATTTTCTTATGATATAGCTACATATTGCGTTAGTATCATTATCATAAATGGTCTCCTACACGGTTCCCTGCGCCATCTTAAAAGGTAGCCGTGCCATTGCATCATAGCGAGACGACCGTTGAGGATGGAATGCCGGATAAACCTTCTTTCACACCTACAGACAATTTATATTGAAGGGTCTATCAGGGTAGAAATTCACCTTTCTRTGGACATTAGGTGAAAGCTCACAAATTTATCAGTGCACGCTCAACGCTTGGCTCTCTTCGATGCAAAGCACAGCTACCCTTCAAGATGGCGCAGGGAACCGTGCAAAGGAGACTATTACCATAGAAACAATTGCAATTTCCATTCCCATCGCTATTGCTTTTGCATCAGCAATTGTCATTGTCATCGTTTCTTCGCAGAGATTTAAACAATCGAAGTATGGCATTTCGCATTTCTTGTATTCTCCAGAAATATATAATTGGATTGATACTGCTGTTTATCAAGAAAATAGTCTGTAACACGTGCACATGCTCCATATGTAACTTAACTGCGTGATTATAACCCATGCTGTTGATTAACCAGACACAATTAGCCGGCAAATAACACAGAAAAAATGTCCCAAGTATGTAATACATAATATTCACAGATCTCTTAATGTTCACTTCTTCACCAGGCTGTGYGTTCATAATTTGCTGTTGAGCTTGAATTTGCGCTACATGCTGACTGATTGCACAAGATATTTTCACCGTCAGAGCAATGTTGATTAACAATAGGAAAAGAAAWAAAAAATTGTATACAATTTTCATAGTAGAATTTGATTCTTCGTTGTTGGCAAGACAGGACCAAATCACACTGATTATCCAGATCAACAATGACATCATTGATATCCGTTTGGCTGTGACAATTTCTTGGTATCTTAGATGTAAGTAGAGAGCAAGGAATCGATCGACAGTGATGGCAGTTATTGTCAGAAGTGAAGCATATGCCAACAGGCTTGAATACAAAAACACCTTTTTTGTTCTTTCAATTAAAAGTTTGTCTTTAGCTATATTTGCAGAAAGACGAGCGCAATAAACCGGCTGCATCAAGGCGCCAACACCAAAGTCAGTGATAGCTAGATTAAGAATAAGAATGTTCGAAGGGATTTGCAAAGATGGCGTCTTCACAAACGTCAAGATGATTAAAAGGTTCAAAATCGTCGCCACAACAGCACTAAACCCATTGATAACAACCATTGACTCATATAAGCGAGTATTGACCATTTGCGTTGGATTTTCTATGGTAGCGTTGCTCATGTTAATAAACCACATACTCTGTAAGCTAAAGGAAGTTTAACCAAGTATGCCAGCTGACGTTTGTCGATAAATTTACATCAGTTAAAACAAGCTCCGTTTTCTTGATAAGTGTCAGCTCAAAATTGCCATGATATCATTATATTGTGTACTTGTTCTTTTCAAAAGTAAGATGTAGATAACGGATTATGACCAATGCAAGTTTAAATATGAGATCATCAACGTATTTGCTCAATTGGCAATTAGACTACGGAGAGAACGGCCAATATAGCTGTTTAAAAGTACCTATAAAAAGACGTCCTGCTTCAGTATTGTCTTTCACTTCGGTACCTGATCAATCTTGTTCCGACACAGATATTTTCAAAACGAATTCGCTATAATTGGCTGTCTTCTTGCGGTTTGAAGATAGAGCAAAAGTGATCTTTTGCGTGCTATTTGGAGTAGATTATCTGTTTAAAAACACACCATATTTACATAATTACAGTCTCTATTAAGCGGCCCTCTATTAAGCGAATCACCCTCTATTAGTCGGTCACCTAGCTATTAACTTCCCGAAATTTGACTCTAACATTTACTATAAACCTGACCTTTCCCAACTGCGCATTTTCATTTCATTTGCCTTTATTAAACGGTCACCTCTTGTAATTAGGGTTAAAATCAGCGGAGGGAAGGTGAAAAATATTACGAAAACATGAAATGAAAAACGTCAGTTTACATTGTAATTCTGTAGTTGCATTGACTAGAGTACTGAGAGTAGGCGTCGAATTCTTCTTTGTTTAGTTTCTGTTTTAGCCAGCTACAAGAAAGCTGTCACCTTTAAATTGATATTGTCAATGATGCTAAGCCAAGTTAGCGATTTACTTCGCCAAATACAGCGTGCGAAGACACAGACACAAGACACAAGTGCGAAGACACAGACGACCTTCGACGAATTCTTTCATTAAACTGTACATTAATCTGTGTATGTTTGTACAGTACCGTATTCTATTCTACTGTGTTACTTTGTACAGTATATTTATTTTATAAACTAAGATTATTAATCTCGTATTTAGCGTTTATATTCCTTAAAACTACATATTTACGTGATGAGTTTCGTAATTTTTTACAWTTTTTGTCACGTAAAAAGCTAAATTTTAGGCAACCTCTATTAAGCGGTCAACCGATAGAGGTTCGACTGTACAAGTATAATCTTATAACATCTGTTGTTATACACATACCACCATAAATAGTTGTGCCTGCTAGATTGATATTTCTTTGTAGAGCTTCTAAAATAATTATAATATTGAAAAATAGGTCATTTGGAGCATTATATTTTTGGCACATTTGCTTGGTCAAATGTCGACTTACAGAATATTTAGATCTTGCGTCAAGGGTAGCGGAAGCTGAAAATCGTTTTAGGGTGGGCACGGTAATATTATATTAATTACGTCATAATTAAGTGACCGCTGTTTAGTTCGACTCCATCACATGGGCACAAGGATCGAAGGTAGCTAGAGCTCAAAGTCATGGTTTACACTGATTAATAATATTAAATACAAAAATGACGATAAAATTAAAGCTTCAGTAGTTATAATTAACATTATTTGACGTGATTTTGTAACAACCTTTTGTGTGGGGTCAGGCTGCCCCAAAACATTTCGTACGGTGCTGGAAATGACCTTTCGTTTCCGCCGCCCGTGATGACCTTGAATTTGTCATTGTCTCATGTTGTCTTTCCTTTGCAACTAGTATTACCTTTGCAATTCCTATTTTTATCTTCATCGTCATTGGCACTACATTTSATTATGACCTTGACATTGACCTTGACAWTTTCATTTAMCTTTGCCAATGCATTATCTTTGCAACTGCTGCCATTGCTACCTCAGTTTCCATTTATGTTGCCATTGCCATTGCCATCACCGTCACCGTTRCTTCCACGAATGGATCGCAACATTTGAAGAGCAGCGTTTCGCATCTCTCGTATTCTCCAGAAATATATGATTGGATTGATACTGCTGTTTGTCATGAGAATGGTAAGACCTACCTCAATTTCTGCGATGTAGTCATCATTATTCGTGAAGCCCGAAACAATCCAAACAAAACTGAATGG